AATTGGATTTAATTAAAAGGTTTATTAGAGATATATAATGTCAAAAATAAGAGTTTCAGTAGATAAAAACCTTTGATTAATTGCTTTGAATAATTGGCCTTTATATACATAATTGAATATTAATTATTTAGTGACCAAAGTGACCAAAGTAATCAAATCTGCCAGATTTATCAAATTAGACCAATATGTCAGATCTGTTCACTTGGGTAACTTGCTAACTAAATATAGATAAGATATAAATATTAAATAATAAAATTAAATAATGTATGCTACTGTATATCAATCACTACTTTGTCCTAATAATTGAATCTATTCTATGAACCAATGAGACATACCTTGCATCACATATGTCAACAAGAACTATAGATAATAATCAAAGGAAAATATAACCAATAATTAAGGCTAACAATATAATTAATTATTTAAAATTAATTTATTGTGATATTATATAATTAAAAATTAATTTAAAAAATTAATTAATTATACAATAACATAATTAATTATTTAAAATTAATTAATTATAATATTATATAATTAAGAATTAATTTAAAAAATTAACTAATTACACAATAACATAATTATTTATTTAAAATTAATTAATTATAATAATACATAATTAAGAATTAATTTAAAAATAAATTAATTATATAATGACATAATTAATTATTTAAAATTAATTAATTATATTATTGCATAATTAAAAATTAATTTAAAAAATTAATTAATTATAATATTACATAATTAAGAATTAATTTAAAAAATTAATTAATTACATAACCATATAATTAATTATTTAAAATCAATTAATTATGATATTATGTAATTAAGAATTAATTTAAAAAATTAATTAATTATGCACTGATATAATGCATTATTTAAAATTAATTAATTACATTATTGTGTAATTAAGAATTAATTTAAAAAATCTAATTATGTAATAATGTAATAAATTAATTAATTATGTTATTATATAATTTAATTTTAAATAATTAATTATATTATTGAGTAATTTAATTTTACATAATTAATTATATTATTATATAATTAATTATATATAACATAATTAATTAAATTAATTAATAATTACTCATTCTATAATTAATTATTAAATTAATTATTATATTATATAATTAATTAATTATCTAATTATATAATAAATTTAATTAAAATAAATAAATAAATTATATTATTATATTATTAATTAATAATATTATACTGTTAACAAATCTCTTAGATTCTTAGAATTTTTTTTTTTTTAGGCAATTTATCTAAGAAAAGAAAAACATCTATAATTCAAGTCACATATTCTTGTAACATTAGCATACAACTGTCATCTTAGCATAAAATAATACTTGTACATAGTTTTGGATTAATAGATTGTTGAAAAAAAATATATATATAGTAAGAATTTTAGCTTTTTTTTCTTTTTTAAAAAGAAGGAAAGAAATCAATATAAACTAATTTACAGTTAGAAAAGGTGAGCCAATAACAATTTCACAGTGTTTGCAACCAGGCCAGTATAGGTTGATATCTTTTTTAATACTACAAGGAATTATAAAGAAAATATATTTATTTAATAAATCAAACAAATCTCAAATCCCTTAAGACCTAGAAGAACATCAAAGCTTTTCAAGGTCTAAATAGTCTAATATATACATTCCACCTTACAAATATCAAAGCACCTAATCAAAATAACATGAATATATATACATGTATAGATCTATTATCAAAACCAAGTTTGACTAAGATTTATTATAACAGTACAATAAATTGAATAAATTTGGTAAGATCCTTAATTATAACATTATCACAGGATATGATTGACATAAATAGAATAGCAAGAGTTTATAATACAATATTAAAAACTAGTATAAACAAGTAAACAATACTAAGTAAAAAAAGAATAAGTAACATGTATCTGATTAAAACAAAATTAAGATACAAATCAAAATAGGGAATTTGTAATAAATCCATATCTGCCCCATTAACTCTGTATAAGTATATATGACTCTGCATAACTATGAACCTGAAATCTGTCCTATATACTATTTTTAAACTTTTTATATAATATTCTCTGAGATTATTTTTAGCCCTGAATTGAGTACCCATAATCATAACCAATTAATCTTATTTTTTTAGAATAGAAATTAGTTCTGTAAACAAAAGTAGCACAAATTAATAAATTATTATAATTATTATTATTATTCTTTTTATTTTCTTCTTTAAGTTATATATAATTCTATAAGTTTGAATATCTATTATGTCAAGATTTTTGTATTTTTAATTAATGTATTTATAGATTTATTTATATAATTTCAATTAAAAGGTACTTTAGACCAGATTCTTATATAAAAAGAAAAAACCTTTCCTAAAATAAAAACAATTTTGTTATTCTATTGACCGAATACCAATTGTTCACTAACTTTTTAGAAATAAAATCTTTTACAGAATTACTAAAACAAGAAGTAAACACATAAAAGATTTTTTTGCTTTACATAACTTTAATAACACTAAGCGATTTATTTTCTATTAGCTATTCTTTACATATACAATAAATAAGTTAAAGAAAATTTTATATATAATAAATAATAGAGAAAAGTATATTATTGATACTCTAATTTGACTTGCAAGAAAGCATAATAAATATAATGAACTATAGGTTATACAACAAATAGTTAGATTGAACAAATCACCATTCAAGTGAAAGAAGAGGCACCAGTCCCAAAAACCTGTGTAATACTCAATAGTATTATTGCGAGTATCTTAGGAGTGATGTTTCATAAAAAATGAATCTTAATACAATATATAACCTACTTTTGACAGCTTAGAAAAGAAAACAAAGAGAATTTTCTTCAGCTATATATTGAAAATGAACTTCTTGAAATAATTAAAAAAGAAAAAAATATACCAAAAATATAAAAACCCTTCCCATAGAGATTATTACTCAGATAGAAAATAAATTTTATGGTAGATAATGAGATTACAATGTCTAATGTTCAAGAATAAGAAGTGATAGAAGAAAAAATAACATTCAAAATTCTGAGAAAAAAGATTTAAGGTCAAAATATAAGTGAATGTAGCTCATATAGTACAAGAACCAGAGCTAAAAATTCTACTTCAAATCCATATTATATAAGTAAAAAAAGAGTATATTGATTAGGAGCCATAACAGCAAACATTCTAGGAAGCTCAATAAAACTAGAGCCTATCCGTGCAACACCTTAAAACTATCTTAGGATAAATGAAACCTTCTTCATAAAAGTTTTATTAATGATAATGAATGGCTGATTCTCTACTTCAAAGAAGAAGATTTCCTTAAATATTTAGAAGAGGTAAACAGAAAGGAGGAAGTCTTTATTTTTCAACAACTAAAATCAGGAAAAGAAGAATGCATGGATCAATCAACTATAGATAAGATGAAGAAAAAGATATTCTGAACTCACAATCTAGAAGAAAGTAAAGACATATGGTATGTAAATCTAGTGGATGTGGATCGTAAACTCTTCAGAAGTTATATAAAAGAATATCTAAAAAGATATGGGAATGTTAAAAACATCAATATCTATAAGGTAAAACCAAGACCAGAGTAAAGGCCTACCTTAAGTGGCATAAACATTTCAAAATCAATCCTGAAGAAATATGGATAACACCACTTGAAATAGAAATGACAAGAACAATTTTCACTAAAGAAGAACTGACTGATAAAGAAATAAATGAGGGTTTTTATTTCCATTAACTGTGTGAATATTTTAGAGAAATCTCAATTCATGTGAGAGTTAAGATTTCTACCCACACGAATAAATATTACCATAAGCATTACGGCATTATTTCTTTAAATCAAATAAAAACAAAGGAATTGTTTTAATTCCGTAGTGGATGATGTTCACAACTTGCGCCCATGTTTCACTAGATCCTGTGCGCTTTTGCTATTATAATACAAACGTTTCTTTTACCAGTTAATAAGAAAATTCAGGCACCTTTCTAGCACCTTTTCCGGGTTTATTCTACTACGCGGTTCTTTAATAGTAAAAGATAGATCCGCAAAGGACCCGGGGCAAGTGTCATTGCACAATTCAAGGCCGGCAACTCATATGCGAATGAAACGAGAGCGTATATTTCTAAGTTAATAAAGGGGAAAATGACATCGGAGTATCATAAAAACTGCCATCAGAGACAATCAGAAGTTTTTTCTTCGGCGGGGTGGCCAGAAGTCAATTCACTATTACAGTATATCAGCTGTTGTTCAAATATTTCTTTGTTTATGAAGGTATTGTTGTGCTATCACCTTAACGTTTTATAGAAATTGGAGAAGTGTGCTCTGAAAATTTTCCAAATAAAATAAAATATACTTGAAACTCGCTTATTGACTTTTAGAAAACCCGTTCATGTTGTATTATCGACACAAATCATACCATTCGTCGGGGGGTTTTATTTTTAAAATTTCCTTGGGTAAAAAAATGAATTGAGCAAACATGCCAAATTCCAGATGCCACTAGTGTAAAGAATAATTTCAACAAGTGAATAATAATACAATAATTCATTAATTTTGTTTATCACCGAAGAATATACTGTACGTATAGGTATTTTTTTTATAACTGACCGACATATGACAATGAAATAGCCATACTCCTGGATTATCAGTTACGAAGCGGATGTTAGCCCATCTAAAATTTACGATGGCAATAAAGTTAAATTTTATTACGTGGAACGGTTAGGAAAAAAAAAAAAAAATAAAAATAAAAATACCCTCGACCAGGAACAATTCCAACATCCCGTTTAATTGGATTTTTTATATTTATACCTTCACCTAGTGGAGTGGTCGAATTTCCAAATCCCAGAAACCAAAAGGAATTACCGTGCTATTAAGATAATTCATAAGTAAAATTTTTGTAAGAGAGGTACGATTCTTAAAACAGACAACTTACCAAATGAAAAGGATGTTGAATTGAATCTCTGTCTGTGACAATGAGAAATGAATTTTGAGGAGTCATCAATTTACATTATTGATAAAATATTAGTGAGTTTAAATTCTCATTACTTATCAAAAAAATGTCTACAACTTCGATCGCCTCGAATGTATATGAATTTAGCGAAACAGGAAACTCCGCTCCTCGATACAACTCTAGAATAGTATTACTGTTGGTAAAAACAACAGGAGGATTAAATCCTCTTGATAAAGTGGCTATAGAACCCAGCGGGGTCTCGTTCTTTTCCGGAGAGTCGACATCCATTATTATTTGCATCTTTAATTCAACGGTTGGATCCAATACATTTTGTTCGTAATATGGGACCAACCCTGTCAATTCACCCTCTATGCATCTTACCGATTCATTAACCCAAGTTTGGGTTCTAGGTAGGGATTTATCATCTGGATCATAACGGACGATTGCTTTTACTTCTTTCGGAAGTTTCTTTAATTCTTCCTGCGGAGTCGTGGACCTTAGGCACTCTGCCTGAAAAATCGCACGCATCCAATAGTTGTTGGTTGGAATTGAACTGTTGGCTTGACTAATAATTATAGAATATCGTTGAGATACTCCAACTGCTACAAAATGTAAGTTTTCCGATGGCTTAACAATGGTTCCTTCGACTTCGATTATTTGAATAAGGTGATCGTCAATTGTGAATAAAAATGACATTAATGAGCTATGGTGTGGTGTTAGTGGTGATCGTCGACATTTAAAATGGACAAAATCAATACGTATTATGGTACTATATTTGAGCCACGGTAAATTCTTTACCTTGCATTAATTAGGCGGATGCGAATTCGTTTCCCTTGTTTAAAAATGAATTCCGAAAATCCATCATTAGATTCGCATCCATACTGACGAGGGCATTCCCCGTTTTTCCCGTTAATCAAACCATTATCTGGAACGGGCTACGCATGATATTAAATTACTGAAACATTGAGCTGAAAAAATAGAAATAAAAATAATAATTCGTTAACCGCATACATACCTCAGGTATTGGGTTGGCATATGAATTGTAGTGGATATAGTTTGCATATGTGTTACTAACATCTTCCGACATATCATAATACCAATCAGACATTATAATTGTGGTCTCATCATCGTATCCGAAAATTTCTTGATCTTTTGTATCTTTAACAATAAGTGGACCGTACAGTCCATCTAGTAGCTGTGTGAAATAGTGTCCGTGACTGTCAAGAAATGTAAAATAGAAATGTGTTATTAATCGCGGTTCACACGTTGTTCGTAAATTAAATCCTTACTCACTACCAATATGTTCCCGAATATCTCGCCACAATTTCATAGGCAAAAGAATAACCATGCTTTATAGAACATTGAGTTACATACGGTGCTCCATCCATAAAAGGTGAACCGAAATGTGGTAACCCATGCCAGTGTAGCGATACGTTACCATTTCCGAACAAATTATGCACCCAAATCTTTAGCTTTTGACCTTTGTAAACGGAAATTTCTGGACCAGGAAATCGTCTATTTACGGTAACTACTTGTCTTGCAACACCACCAGGTGCTCTGGTTTCACTACGAATATAAAGGTTTATCTCAAGTGGTTCATCTAAATCTACACTTGATAAGTTAGAAATGATATCACCCGTGTCTTCGAAAATTGGAGTGGAATGGACGATGGCTAGTTGGATTAATATGCCTAGCCAGAGAACCAAAGTTTTATTTGCAATTTTCATTTCGGGGACAGATATGATAACCGATAAGCCTTACGTGATTAAATAAGAGAGAGAAGGCGTTGTCCGTATTTATGATAAGGCTTTGGGATGTTTTCAAATACGGCAAATGCCTAATAATATTTTGACCGCATACACATACTGTATGTAAAAATCATTCGAGGCTTATAATAACAAAAATTTTGTGCGTTTGAACTTGCACGATTTACACATTAACTCAAATTCAAATAATTTATGCGACAAATCTTTCGACTTGGAGTAGGATATTCTTCATATTTTTACAATTATAGAAAATGAGGGGGTAATATACTGAGTAATTTGAACTTATATTTTCTAAAAATCAAAGAGTTAAAATGCACACATAACTGTTCAGAAAAAATTGCGCGCAAATTGATTCCACTGTTTCTTGATTGATGATTCATTGCAAAAAGCGCAAGAAATGGGATCACGAACGATTATCGGGGACTCAACGAAAGAGATGACCATGAATAGATATTAAAGCAGGCAGGCAAATTGAGGGCTCAAGTAACCCGCGATTAATCTATCTATACGTATAAGATTTGATCAAATCTTATTAACCTGATTTTTCCATGACTATTGTAGATAACCAATTTTGGACTAAACATTACGTATTAGGGCACGGCTAGATGAACATTTGTGTAACGTCTAATCGCGTTTCCAGACATTCTAACGCTGTAATATTTAACCTTTTTTAAGACATAGTTTAATTATCGCTTGCGTTGGTCTGTATATTATTGATTGTACTTGCATCTGTGCACCATTAAGTGTCTATAGTTTTATCGCATTATTTTCCTTTATGCTTCAACCCAAACCGCGTGCATCAGCCAGTTCAGAAAGCATCAAGTTGTTAAACTGTCAATTAAAAATTAGGACATCATAACAAGAAACTGATATTTATTTAATTATAATTATTTAATAAAGTTGTTTAAAATATTAATAAAACAAAAGCAAATCGTTTTTTTTTTTTAACGTAAAATAAAGATAAAGCAAATACAATATATTACATATTATAAAATCAATAACGTATAAAATAAAAATGAATTAAAATCAACAGAATTCAATAATTTTATAGCAGATAAGCAAATAAACATATAAAAATTTGATCAATTTATTTTAATAGTCTGCTTTTTCAAAATTATCATCGATTATGCAAAAATTCTTCTTATATAAACCATATATTTTATTATGAAATTAGTTTTTATACGAATTTTAGCTTTCTAAAATATTTTCTATTTAATATCTTTAAAATCCTTTTATATTCTTTTATATGTGCAATAATAATAAAATATTTTGATTAATATATATTATCTTAATATTTAAAAACTCTTTTCAATGATCCTCTGAACATACACGAAAGACATTCATATAAAAGTCTTTTGGCTTTCTTTAAAACAACTAAAAAATATCTTCAAGGTTCACTTTTACCTTTCCTTTCTTGTTCTCTTTAGCCAAAAACTTGACTTGAAGTGATTTAAAAAAATCAAATGGCGCCTTTCTACTATTGAAAAAAAAAGTTACTAAAAAAAAAACTAACTATAAAGTATCTTAAAAGCTTTCTATCCTTGAAACAAGTTATTATGAATATCCTTTTTGCAATAAAAAAACTTTTTTTTTTTTAATTGATTATTTAAATTCTTTTAAGGTTATCATTTTATGGTTTTTTGAATAATTTTATTTATCTTAAATTTTTGAATAATATAATTTTTGCTAAAATAATTAATTAATACAAAACATATCAATTTCTAAAATATAACAAATCCCTATTAATTACAATCACATATTTAATAATATTGGATTATAAAATATAAAAAAAAAAGTTTACAAATAAATATCTTTTAATTAAACAATAATCATAGTATTAAAAAATAAGTAAAGGATATATAATATATTAATTTTTATTTCTTATTAAATTTTTAAATAATAAAAAACTTCTTTTTTAAAAAAAATCAAAATATTCATATTTTTATTCTAATTAGAAAAGTTAAACCATTATAGATACTATTATTTTAAATAAGTTATAGGTTTAAGTTTCATAAATAGTAGATATAAAATAATTTTTTTTTATAAAAATATAAAATAATAAAATTTTTTAAACAATTTGTAATCTCAATGATCAATAAATAAGTTTTTCAATTAGTTTAAAGCTAAAATATTCTAATTGTGCAAAAATTTTTAATAAAAAATAGCTTAAATAAAAAATTTTTAAAAAGATGAATTATTTTTTTCTTTTTGTTTTCTTGATTAATTTTTAATTTATCATTTTTAAAATAAAATATAATAGACTTATAGATCTATAACATAGTAATAGTGCTCTCAAGTTATAAACACAAGGTTTAGAGTTCAATACTATATGAGAATTATATAGAAAAATAATCAAATTACATGATAATGAGACTTCTAATCACTTTGTTGATTACTGAACTAAAAAAAAACTATCAAGAGAATTGCATAAAGAAAAATTTTTTATTTGATTACACAAAAAATATCTAACTTAATTTTCTTGAACTGGATAGAAACAACATTCCAGAATTCCACTTTTAGAATTATAGTTATTGTTTGAATATAATATTAATTCATATTATACTAGCAGACTTTGGAACTCTACTTTCAGACTTATAATAATTATCTTAATATTCCTTACTTCAAACTATATTAACAAACTCTAGAACCAATCTCTCTAGCTCAAAATATCTCAATTTGATACTCTATTTAATGAAAAGTTAATCAATAAGGATTAATCCAATGTCATATATAATGATAAAAAAGATAATATATTCACTTTTAAGATTTAAGTAAATATTATCTAAGTATATTGAAGAACGTATAAAATCTATCAAGTATATATATATAGTCAAATTAATCTAGTAAATATATTAATAACAAATTAAAAACAATCCCATATTAGCTCATTATATCTCATTGTTTATAACTAGTATTAATCATTTTACTCTTAACTAAATCTATTTATTTTCTAAGTATAAGCTAGTTTAACTGGATAAGTCATAATAGATCTGCATATATATAAAAATATATAAAATATATAAAATAACTGATATAAATGATAATAACTATATATATAATATATTACTAAAAATTACATATCTAATTTTTTTTTAACCTGCAATCATGCCACAATAGTCTATTTTTATGGAAAAATTGAAATAAAATTTATAATATTTTACTGACTTTCACAAAGTAACTAACTTGTCTTCATACAAAAGTACTCTAAGTCAGATTTTAGAAACAATATTTCACTCCCCTAATAAATTGGTAATAATCTCTATCTACTAGGATCATTGTCAACAGTTTGTCACTGTTTATTACCCGAAAACTAATGAATTGCTAAGATAAAAAGGGGAAAGGTGAAAAACAATTGAGGAAAAAGACAACTCAAGGCCTACCAAAAAATTCAAAAATAAAAACAACCTCTTCTCAGAAGGGATCTACCTGATTGGAATAGTTTTCTTGTTTCACTTGAACCTTGAAAGAAATCTTTTTTTTCATCACCTGCGGTATCGGACAAGTCAATCCAACTGGTCTTTCATTTAAGTGAACATCGGATTGAGATATCTCAAGAAAAGTATTTAGATCTCTACTTTTTCCATTAAAGCTTTGTTACTACCTGAGAAACTTAGATAAGAGATAGAAGTTTGCAATTCATATTATCCATCACTTGGTCTTTTAATGTTATGGAAGTTTTCATTGAGGAACTTGAGCTTTTTGAGAGTAACCGTTTCCAGAACCTTCTTTCCAATCACCAATAATGTCATCAGAACACATGAATGTGACCAAAAGTAGCTTGTTTACATTCCAAAAACTAACATGTTTTGTGTTAGCCAATCACCTTTGATGAGGATTTGCGCTACCAAAAATTTAGGATCAAACTGAGGTAGACAAAATTCTCCAAAAAACTATGAAAACGATAGCTTTAAGAGTCTCACAAGTGATTAGAAGGGGAAAAATAAGCCCTTCTGTTATTAAAAACCTCTATATAACTCTCTTTTTAAAGGTTAAATAGGTCTTCAAGTATTTCACAATCAGTTTTTCTTTCTTTGTGAACTTTCTTGCCATTGGTATCAAAAGTATTACTTGACTTTTCTTGATCACTAGAAGTCAAGTTTTTGAGTAAAAAGGTTTGTAAACAAAAGGAAAAGGGTAGAAGTGATTCTTGAAGTCACATTTCAAGTTGTTTTAATGAAAGTATTAAGACTTTATTAGTAAAGAAGTATTGAAACTTCTTGTGAATATCTTTTTTGTGCGTGGTCAGAGAATCAGTGAAATGAATTTCATTATTTTTGTAAAAGTTACATATCTAATACCAATTATAATTTAAAAAATATATAATATATAGTATAGTATTCAAATAATAATAATAATTTTTTTATAGTATATCTTATTATATATACTGTATAAAATTATTTACAAGATCTTTTAATTTTTACATAGTAATTCATTTATTATTGAAAAAACTATTTCTCTAAATACAATTTAGGAAATAATATTTTGCTCATTTACTGACTTGAATGAATTCTCTAGTCAATAAAATCATTGTCTATAGGTCATTACTATAGATCATTCTAAATTCTGTTTGTAGTTAAAAATCAAATCATTTGACTTAATGATAAACTCAATTCTTAAGGGTTTCTATATACTTCTTTCACTCCTTTCTTTAATAGCTTCTTATTTCAGGTCTTATAAGAGTATCAATGATTTTTCTATTCTTGTATAGTTTGTGTATTGAATCTATACTCAGATCTTTTAGATCTTTTATTCTCTTCAGTAATATTCTGTATCTTTTTCCATTCTATTACTTTGATACAATAGTTATTCCAGATATCCTTCTTAAAATTTTTTTTTATTTTGTAACAAAGTTTATTGATTATGCTTTGTAAGAATACTAGATAAATTTTATATTGTACTTTGAGATAATTCTTCAAGAGAGTGATTTTATTTTCTTTTATATATCTATAAATAGTATTAAAAAGGCTTCTGTTTGATTGCTATATCTTGTTTAACCATTTACTTGTCCAATTATCAATTGTAGAGTAAGCTTCTTTTTTATTTTTTATTTCTTTTCTAATATAATAATGATTTTTTCTTTTGCTTTTTATTATATGTCTTTTCTGACTTCTTTAGTGACCGGACATTTAAAAAGGTGCTTTGATGTCTCTTTTTGAAATTTACATATTGAGCAAGTTATTATAATATAAATATCTAATTTTTCTTTCTTGAGTATTTATAATACTCAAAGTTTGTTGTCAATTAAGTTGGTTAGGAAACTTTTATATTTATTAGCTTTAAAAGGGGTATCAAAGATATTGAATGGTTAATCAATATATAATTTTAGCATTTTGAATTTATAGCTTTTGAATCCTTTTCTGTAATGTCTAATTTTTTTCAATTCTTTTTCTATTAAATGTTTTCCAAATTCTTTAATACTAATCTCTATTGTATGCTTACACTATTTGACTATTGTGAAGATTTTTTCTAACTCTGATAGTTGATGCCAAGTTATTAGATTCTTGTATCTAGCTTGTTTAATAAATAGATCTACCCAATTATTGAACCTGTTGATCTTATAAACCTTGACCTTTGTAATTTCTAAGATAAGATCTTTCTTTTTTACTAAGTCTTTGATCTTACTCTATATTGGTCAGTTTATGATCTTTGTTCATCTTCTTGTTGGTATCTCTGTTTATAAACAGATAGACTTTTATATCTAACTACAGTATTATAATCAGTAAAAATTAAGATTGTTGTATTTCGAGAAGCTATATATAGTGCAGTAAGAATAGCCAATATTTTTGTTCTAATTGTTGTTAGTTAAGTTAATGCTTTGTTGAAAATTGTTTTTCAACTTTGTTATCCTTTATTAAAACTCAAGAAAATTCTATTTTAAGTTTATTATCTTTTGTTTATTTTTTATAAAAGCCATCTATATAAAAAGTAAACTGATTAACCATATTTATTCTATTGTATTTTAATATATCCATGAGTTCATCTATATGGTTTTCTAATTGGATAGCTTGTCACATTAGTATGGCTTCCTAGTTTTTTATCTGAATTTCCATTTTTACAAGTCTAAAAATAGATAAAATTAATATTTATTGCCTTATAGTTGTTTACCAGTTTGTGGAGTTGCCTAGCACTAGTCGAAATTATGTCATTCAGCTACTGAATTATTGCCAAATTTGGCAAAAATTAATAAAAAAAAGTTTGACAAATTATTTAAGATTGCTGTCATTCGGCATTAAAAATATTAGTAAAAAATTGGTAAAAAAATATTGGTATTCTACAAAAAAAAAATTTAGTACAAAATCTGGCAATATTGTGGCAAAAAAAAATTTTGTGGTAAAAAATTTGATAAAAAAATTGATACAGTGACAAAAAATTTGGCAAAAAAATTGATACAGTGGCAAATAATTTGGCAAAAAAATTGATATTGTATAAAAAATTTACCAAAAAAATTGATAGTGGCAAAAAATTTGGTAAAAAATTGATACAGTGGCAAAAAATTCAGCAAAAAAATTGATACAGTGGCAAAAAATTCAGCAAAAAAATTATTGTGACAAAAAATTTGGCAAAAAAATTACTGTAGAAAAAAATTTTGACAAAAAAATTCAATTTTCACAAAATTTATTAAAAAATTATAAATTCAATTAACTAAATTATTCATAATTTTCCTCTTTCTCTTCCTCTTCTTCCTCCTTTTTTACTTACTTTTCTTTTCCCTTTAAGATCTTGATTTAACTCTTTTAAAACTAGCCCTAATTGGTTTTACTTTGCCAAATGTTTTCAAGATTTTTTGCTTTTTTCTTCTAATCTAACTACCCTGAATTTCATCCATTTGTACACTTTCCCCAGTTTGTTCCTTATTCTCTAAATATATTAATGATTCCTCATATTTAGTAATTTTTTGTTTTTGGATTTAACTGCTGATTTTTTTTCCTTTTTTTGTCTCTTTTTTTTGTTCACATTCCAAAGTTTCTT